AACGCAGACGCGATGGTGTGCGTCGGGGGCAGTCGCGTAGTAGAATATTAAACATGTTTAATATTTCTCACGACGGCTTAAGACTGTCCCCGACGATAAATCGGGTCGGGCTGCGTCGGCCGACGCTGTCTGAGTTGGCCTTTAGGCGTACGTTTTCTCCAGCGAAACGCCCTTTTATGTATCCTTTTTGGTCAGAATTAACTAGTGATTTTATAAATACACGTAGTCGATTACTTAAAACATGAGCAAGAATTTTGTAATCAATATTCAACAGTGTGATTGGTCGCCAGTTAACTAAATTTTGCCTATCACCCCCTTTAAAAAGCATGGTAATAACACCACGTTTTTGTGAACAAGAAAACTCATTTGATTTTCTTTCAAATTTTGAAATAACGCAATTCAATGATAGACAGAATATCTTCATCCCATTATTTACTTAACTATAGGCCGACAGTATCCTAAACTACCATGTTAAGCATAAGACAATTTGTTTTCGTCATGATTTGTGTGTGTGTGTGTGTGTGTGTTGTTTTGCTTTTAATTTGTTTGTATGTTTTTGAAATTACTGAAATAATAACAAAAAACAAAACAAAACAAAACAAAACAAAACAAACTCATTTGATTTAAAGCTTTCGTTAATTGCTTTACAGACCACCGTTTCAATTTGGTTCCAAAAAAATGTAAAATTCAACACTTAGGCCATCAGAGCCAGGCGACTTATTCCTTTTCATTTTAAACAGCGCCTCTTTACATTCCTCGCTAGTAACTTCCCCTTCACAGAATTCTTGTTCGTTTTTTGAAAGTACGTTCACTTCTGTTTTAGCTAAGTAAGCGCTGGTTTGTTGCTTGACCAGTGTTTGTGTACAGAGTTGAGGCCTGGTACACTGTGGCAACGTCAACGATAAAAAGAAAGAAATAGGTGAAGTTTTCACTCAGCACGATTTGATAACGTTTGTGTACGTACGATAAAAAAATAATTTCGAAAATCAAATAAAATTACCTCATATTCATGGAAAACGATAAAATCGTTTTTACTACAACGATTTTATAATTTTTCCATGATTATGACGTCATTTGATTTGATTGAGAAAATATTTTGTTTATCGTATAGTCCTACACGATAAATCGTTATATTATATCGTAATAGTGTAAAAACTTCTATTTCTTTTATTTTACATAGGAATATTTGTTTTTATCTTTGTATCGTTGTTCGCTATCGTCCGGTGTAACAGGACTTAATTATTCTCTCCTGAATGTCCATTTTAGTATTACAGATAGAAGTTTTGATTTAAATTTCATTTTTCAGCGTATTGTCAAGCATTGCTATTATACTGTTTACATACATTTATACAATTTTCGTTTTTTCCGCCCTGATGACGATCTTTGAACAAATAAAGGTATAAAAAGTCTTACGGCTCATCCCACAATCAAATTCACTGCTAACAAATCCACAAGCAGTGTAGATTTTTTGGACATCACCGTGACCATGGAAAATGGTGCACTTAAAACTGATCTCTTCCGTAAACCCACGGATAAGCATATATGTACCTGCTCCCTAGCAGCTGTCACCCCCCGCACTGTACAAAAAACATTCCGTACAGCCAAACATTGCGCATGAGACGCATTTGTTCTTCGGATTTAGATTTTCAGAATCGAACAGAAGAACTATCCGGACATCTCCGGAATAGAAATTATCATC